CGTTGCAACCGGTCTGCTCCGGCTTTGTCTAAGTTTTGCATTGAACGCCAAATGTGAGTCTCTAGTCTGTTACAGTGCTTCCGTTTAGTATCTAGTATATAATTATACCACGCTACTTACAACCTGTTTCATTTTCTTAGAGGTCGACAAAATTGCTAATAACAGGCATTGGCATTACATTACTTTTTTCGTAAAATCAAATTGTGCTATAAGTTTTAATTAGTTTTGTATTCTTCTTTCAATGTTTTATGTAATTCACTGCAAAAAAGATAAGGTTAAGCAGATATTCACTCTGAAATTTTGACAGAAGATTTTCGAATTAGTCTAATTATTTCTCGGTATATTATGTCAGTATTCTCGAATAACATTCATAATAATATCGTTGGTAATTTCATGAGATGAACTGGCTTAAGTGGCTCATCAATTGATGTCACTGCAGTGCCTCTGACTGAAGGGTCCTAGGGTTCGCGTCCCGACAGTTAAGGATTTTAGACACCAGCTTGATAGCTAGGTCGAGTTCAGCCGCTGTTTTCAGGGTAATTCTACCGACCGGCTATTCGGATCGGTAGTTTTCCCTAGTTTCTCCTATCAGCATGAGACTTGTTCTTCGCAGGCAGTCTCATACCAAAACCCAACTTTTTCGAAACATCTAGCGCAGCAAATAGACGCGGGAGGTCATTTGAGTAACTAGAAACACGGGATACAGTTTTGAAACTTCAGTCTCAGGGTGCTTTGAACTTTGTAGCGTTTCCGTTTCAATACGGAACTGACACCATTCGCACCCAAGTACCACCAAATCAAAACATTTGCTTTTTTTCTTCGTTTGTTTCCAAACAAAACAGATTTTCTCTTATGTGGTGCTTAAAAATGCTGCTCAGGAAAACGTAAACTGGGGCGTAGAATCTAAGCCTTCGTTTTAACAATCGCGTGTCCTCAGCTGGAGCCTCAGTTTGCGGGCGTCCGAGCCCCTCAGGAGTTTCCGTGTTATCTCGTCCGATGTAGGCAGGACGCGGCCTTTCGCCTTCGGACTCCGAGGCCCTGCCTGTTATTGGCCGGGGGCGAGTGTCGCAATAACCAACTTCCCTCGGCCTTCTTATTGCTTCGGTTGCGGAGCGCCGACATCGGAAATCGAAGAAGCGAATTCGCCTTAATGGCAATCTGTTGATATCGTTGTCCGGACGGCGAGTGGTGGGACTGCTAAGAAAATAACTCGATCCGGCCAAGTTTGTATTTATGACTGTTGAGAACTCCGGGGCAGTGGAGTGGGGGGGGGGTTGAAAGGGGGAAATATCAAGTGGCAATCTTTGGGCATCTGCTGCTGTTGGGGGATTATAGCGCTGCTGTTATTGCTTGTCGCAGCCCAGGGTAATAAAGATATAATTCATTTACATCCATTAAAACTTGTGTGGAATTACTTCAACGCTGGTAATAATGTTAAAAAATATTAGTCTGTTTATTACCCGCTTTTCTGTGCTTAAAAGACTTTATCTATCTTGTAATTAATTGAAGTTTAGTGACAGTTCAATAGGGGCAACCTAAGGCTATTTGTTAATGCTATGAAAATGTGTTTTTTACTTTAAAATGTAATAAATGCCGCAAAGATGAAAGTGATGTGTCCATGAATCTGATATATCCTTGGCATATCTGACTTTAGTTCTTTTTGTAGAATTAATTGTAGATTAGAATGAAGAATTTTTGTTTATTACAAAACGAATAATTTATTAACTAGCTAAAACTATGTCATCATTCCTTGCTTTGTGAGTTATTTACAGAGGTTTTTTTCTTGCCTTTGGTGTCTTAAAGATCGTACAAAAGCCTCATCTTCCCACAGCATGTTATGTAGTAAGTTAAAAGATCTTAATAATGGTTGTGATTTGGTGTATTAAAGATAGTGTTATTAAATTTCATTGATGAGAAGGAAATACTACTACTAACCGCAATTCGGTTTAAAATGCCTATTTTCTTTAAGACTATTTTCGGTACATATTTGCTTTTTAATTGTTATTTTTATCTCTGAATATTTATTTCCTTAAACTTTGCAACCAGAAGTTGCCAAAAAAAGCAACACAACAAATGTGACCTAGTTTTCGAAAGGCCATCTCGTTTATGCACAGAGGCTGGTTCCTTTCCCCTCTTCGTCCCCTCCCTTCCCCCTCCACTCGCTCACATCGGCCATCCCATTCGAACGGCCCTCCCCCACCCATACAAACGACGAGCCGGAAGTATGATATACCGCGGCCACACACGGCAGCCCTCGCGCGGGCGTAGTTCAGTTGATTGACGGAATATAACCGAATCGCCCCAGTAGTTTCGGATTCAATGACGGACGAAAATTAATAGTATATATACAGAGGCGCTATAGATACGCCTGCATGAATATTGATGCTGTACTATGCATAGGCATACACCCACACGCGGAGCCGGGGGAGGGGATGAGGCGGGCTAACATTTATCAAACGAAGTATTTGAGCGGTCGGGAAAGGTCGTTTGGAGGCGACGGAGAAAGGACGGGTAGGACGGACGGCGGACGGCGTGATATGGCCCACTAGCCGCAGTCACAGTGTGTGCTGTGGCTCTTTCCACCCCGTGGTTAATGTCTACGCGAGCCTTGTGCGGACGATAATTGCTGCTCTTGGGTTATCCGGGGTCGTTGGCGTTATTAGAATATGAATTAATTGCCGCGCCCAGCGACTGCGTGTTTATCTATGCGCCGCTCGCTAATTTGTGGGGACTTAATTGTCCGTCGACGGCCAATGGGTTCACGAGCGCGCGCCACGCGTCCGACCTGCGCTCTACTGGCCGAAGATGAATTGACGAGCTGGCAACGCCGCCGCTGACAATTAGCAGGAGGTCGTCGAAGAAGGTAATGAGGCAGTGTACTTCATTTCGCGTCGGCCGGTCGAATTGTTTATGCACCTGTGGATGCTGGTAGAATTACTAATGAAGGGGATGTAATGAAGCCACCGGTGTCGGTTTTCGTTCCACTTAGCTGATTGGAAATACAAATAATGGCGGTAATGGTTGCGGTCGAAATTCTGGCTTTCAGTCTGTTGTTGGGTGTATCGATTCGTGATCTGAGTGCTGGGTATTGTGTAAACATACTCTTTAGAAGAAGGTATATTAATGCGCCATTCAAATTTCTGGCTGTGGGGGAGCTCGGGGAGCTTTCAATATTGAAGTGCTACTGGCCACCTGAAATAGATTTCATTTCGTCATGATTATTATTTAATTAAAATGTACTTCTTTTTCACGGATTAATTTAGAAATTATTATAACAATGCAGAAGTGCATTGCGAATTAAGTTGTTTATCATCGAGAACGTAACTGGAATACCACAAACCTGTAGGTTTTGATCGTGATGGTTAATCGTGATAATTAATTTGAAGGATAAAAGAGTATCGAACGTTTTTGTGAAAAGTAACGTACTTGTTCTGGAACTTGATCTCGGCCAAATATTTAGTTCGAAAACCCGTAGATGAAAGTAGACGAAAAGTTCCTTGCTAATTGTTGCTGAGAGAGGTCTGCGTTTTGGGACGACTTCTTCCGGCTTGCCGGACGCGAAGGGAAAGACGTTGAGGAAGGTTCAGAAAGACGCGTCACCAGGATTGGAAGATCGGGTAGTGAGAGGGAAGTTAAAGTACATTATATGATGTAGATATTCTGTACGTTTTCCGTGCTTGGTAATCTGTTTAAGGAACCAGGTCCTAATGGTTTCTGCAAAATGCCTATTTATATAGTGTCCAAATTCAAATTCACAAAAATATTAAATTACAAGTACCCTCAGCAGCATTAAACGTTTTGACCGAATCGCAAACCTGACAACGGTGAAGTCACCTCTAATAAAGAGGCCCGCTCTAATTAAATTACTACTGGTCAAATTGAATCTTCAATAAGTGACGTTTGTGTCGGTGCGTAATGGTCCGAACACCAACCTAATTGAGTAGCTGAGTGAGCAGGTGAAAGGCATTTGAGGTAATTACAAAATTATGGAAGAACGCGAAGAAAAAGCTTTTCAATTTAGCGGAAAATCAGTAAATAAAGAGAGGGTCGAAGAGAGATTAAAAGAGCAGGCGGTGTAGATTGGAAGCAGTGTAGCGAGGGACGGCATGCAGCCACGTACCTCGCGGAGTAGGTAAGCGACACGTGATGCATCGTGCGAAGGAATCGGACCGCGGTGGAGAGGGAAGTGAGCGAAGGGGCGGGGAGCGTGTGAGAGCTGCGTCGAGCGAGTGGGCGTGCCGACACACGAGGGCGAGCGGCGCACGGGCTCCGCACGACGTGCTCACGGGGGCGGGGCGGGGCGGTGGCGGGGGCGGAGTACGGGTGGCGGGAGGGCGGCGCGCGCCGGAAATGTGGGCGCTGGGCACGCGCCTGCCGCGTTCACGCGATCGCGATGCTTGCGCAGCGGGACAGCAACCCTCCCCCGCCGCCGCCCACCGACGTCCCGCCACTGCTTAGGCCAGCGCCTGCGCTCTTCGCGCTATTCGTCAGCGTCGTCTTTTGTCCACCGCCGCCAATGCCACCGTCGCTGCCACCACCGCTGCCACCACCGCTGCCATCATCGCTGCCAGCACCGCTGCCACCTAAAATGCAACATCCGCTGCCACCTCCACTGCCTCCACCTCCGGCAACGCCGCTGTCGCCACCGCCTCCGCCTGCGCCTCCGCCATCGCCTTCGCCTTCGCCTCCGGCACCGCCAACGCCTCTGTCAGCGCCTTCACCCCCTCCACCGTCGCTACCACCACCGCTGCCACCTCCACTGCCTTCATCTCCGGCAACGCGCTTGCCGCCGTCGCTGCCACCGCCTCCGCCTCCAACTCCGCCTTCGCCTTCGGTTTCGCCTTCGCCTCCGCCATCACCCCTGCCGCCACCACCACCGCTACCGCCTGTGTCTTCGCCACCGCCGCGAAGCAATGGGCTCAAAGCAACTATGCCACTACTGCATACGCTAGCGGATAGAGCCTACGTGTTCACGTGCGCGAAATTGGAAAATCATGACATGTTAACGTTTTACAACTCGGTCTTGTAATGAATGTGCCCGCTACGAAGAAGCGGGAAGGAATGTGGCTTAAAATAACACATCATGAGCGAACGTAAAGGGGCTGTGTCGTGCTCGCCAGAATGTGCGTGTGTGTGCAGCTCTCTTCAGACCACTGTCCTCTGCATGGCAGTGACGACGAACCGTCGCTGTGCGAAGGGGCACCAACGGACGACTGATGGGAAAAGTGAGTAAGATGGCAGTCAGAAGGCTGGCGAGGAGAAATACGGCCGGATACAAGTAAACATGTGCACCGGGGTTGCGGTTAAACGTCAATCACAATGGCACGGCCCCTGTGGCTTAATATTAGTAGAGCCCCTGTGGCTTGGCGGATGCAAAACACAAACTACATTCTTAACATGACTATATTTCATTATTCAATTGCTCATGAAAATAATAATATTTAGGGTGTGACGTTTCATTCTATCTACACATTTTTCTCAATTATTGTAAATATGGTTCTGGAAACATGGAACACTTTTGTGGTTTTGTTCTTTTACCAATTTATGTACTACATTCTGAAAATGAATGGTTTTAGTAAAATAATTTAAGTTATTGCCTTAAGTTGTTTTTAGTAATCCTCTCTTTGATAATTTAAAAAATATTGTGTTGCTTGTGAATAAAATAATAGTGATCGGTGTTTATGAGACGTAAAATAAATAAACATGCATGTAAATTGTTAAAAAAATGTGCGATTTAGGTATTTCTCACCCCCGAATTGTTTTTCTCTCGTATCTTGCCCATCTTCAGAGCAGTGTAGATACGAAAAGAAGGAGAAGTGTGGTAGTGGAGGAGGGCAAGAGGTACCGCTGGCTGCGCGGATTCCAGCGAGCCTCGCTGCCACACGCACACGCGCTTCTCGGAAACGCCCGGTTCTGCCGGGCGAAGCCATGTGCGACGACGGTGGCGGCGGCGGCGATGGCGGCGGCGGCGATGGCGGTGGAGGCGGAGGCAGCGGCGGCGGAGACCGTGGCGGAGGCGGAGGCAGCGGCGGAGGTGTAGGCGGCCCTGCACAAGCGGTCGGGGAAATTGCGTTGTGAGAAGTGAGGCGCGTTCACCGGCACGGAATGCCTGGACTTGCACGGTAGTACGTACAGAGACAGTCGTGGAGGCGGCTAAATTCGTTGCAAGTAAAAACGTTATATGTTCGTGTTTCTTTAGTTCCGCGAAAAAAAATCGCGTCTGGCGTTAATTTCTCTTCAATTTTTCTTTTGTAAAATTAGAGCTAAGAAATTTCGAATATTTAATTTTTAGTTACATTTTTTAAATATAAAATATAAAAGAGTAGGCATACAAAATGTAAATAAATCATTACGTAATTTGACATGTATAAGTAAATGACAATGAACATTTTAATACCCTTATTGTAATGACAGATGGTGGTAAAATTTGGAGTAAATTTTCAAAAAGAAGAGAATGTCTCAGAGTAATCAATCAGCTCCATCAATTTACTTGCGTAAGATAATAACAACCGGAATGAAAGTACACTCGTTCTAACTCTTCTGAATGTATTATATTTCTCAGACATTTTGGCGAATCTCGTGCTATTAGCAATCATGTATTGAAATACTTTAACTTTATTTTTGTGTTCTGTTATAAATACTGCGTTTAATCTCTGAAAGTAACTTAACTCGCACAGGTCTAATGTCCAATTTATTACGTGGCGACATATGTGTCATCTTTCTTTAATATAAACTTTCTCGCATTTTTTGCTACTGGCGTCATGGTAAGAATTCCTTTATACGGAGTATCAATTTCTAATGACACGTATATCATATCATCAGGGTTTTTTCCTCTCCGGTAATAAAAAGGGGAAATTTTCACTTTTCCTTTTGTTTCATTACGTACCTTTCTACGATAGATGGGAAAGTTTATAAGTACAGTAAATTTTTGTAGATATTTTAATAGCCGTAAAGCGTATTTTTGACATACACATATTCCGCCGAATCTATTGCAATGTAAAATAAAGAAGACGCGACGTCCATACAAGGTTAAAACGGTAGGAAAATAGGGTTGCTTTTGCTTTCATGGCACACACACAGTTTTATAGGCGCTCTTCCGGCAAAAAAGTGCCTGCACTCGGGTATGCGCTCCGGTCATATTGATCCAGAGTCCGCAGCTGGCGTCTGCAAACATCTCGGGCGGCGGCGGCGGCGGCGGCGGCTGCCCGCAGCGCAGAGAGCGCCCGCCCCCGGAGAAGGACGACCGCGGAGCCTCCGGATGACGGTCGCCGCAGACCCAGCGCTCTTAGTGGCGGTGATGGCTGACAGCGGCGGGACGGCGGCGAAAGCGAGGGCGGGCGCGGAGGCGGGGCGCGGAGGCGGGGCGCGGAGGCGGGGCGCGGAGGCGGGGCGCGGAG